TCGGGTTATTAGCAGAGAACACAGAGCAGAACTTGAATTTCGGCGCGGGATTGCGGCTGTTAATAACAGTTGTACTCATTCCTGCAGGTTCTGCGCTTATAACGCGATGACAGATGACGGAACGTATCATTTGCACGTGCTTTTTACTCACCTTAATCATCACGTTTGGCTTGCGACCCAGCTTCACTGTTTATTGTCACAATAAATCACTTTTCACTTGCAACTGGATTCTGAGTTCTCTTCCCGTAACAATTTATGTGTGTGTACTTCTAACATGTTTGGTTGGTAAAATAAATGTTGTAAATTCAAATCAGAGTGTCTTCCGTGTCTGGAATGGATGTATTCTTGAGTCTATAAGGTAACAATAATATTATAAGATAACCTTGTTTGAAATGGGTTTTGCTAAAAGAAAATTTTGGTTTCGTCTATACTACTAGGTACTTATATCAGGGCTCTACAGTGCGACCATTTCAGTCTTCGTTAATTATAAATGTGAGCTCGCGATGAACTAAGATTAGTGACAGCTTTTAATGATTTTTAAAGGAGTTTGTAAATGTGATACCTGGTGTTCATGAAAGAGTGGGAACCCTGTTCTTGAGTTGTCGCTGCTATATGATTCATGTCACTGCTTGTGCACTGAGCCGGGATGGCTGAAAAGCCCGACCCACCTTTTTTCTGGGCTGTGGGGTTCCACTAGTCATGAAGATGCCGGCGCCACTCTGTTGTGGCAGCCAGATTGTTCCCACAATCAGTGCGTGTTGGTCCCTACTATGTACCAAAATCTTTGCGGTGTTTACATCGGCAGTGCTCCTGTATGACTTGTGTTGCTGCTATTATCCTGTGGGTTACAGTCATTATACTTGAAACTTAAACTTGCACACAACAGTTCCCCAGGCCAATGTGCTGTCTGATATGCTATATATAATAGTAAGCTCCACAACTGCATTCTCCGGTGAGAAGCTGTTGTCTGGAATGTGCTGCTTATGCGTACTTGTGTACAGTGGCTGTACCATGCATTGCGATTGTTCAGACAGACAGAAACATGCAGAATTTTTGGTGAATCTGAATCAGATCTGTGTATTTGTTTGCATCTGAACAACAAAAAATATGTGAAATCCCATTTTTACAAAACTGAAACCTCACATGGCATTGACTGTGTAGTAAATAATGAGTGTTTTGGGACACAGAATACACATTTTGGCATCATATTTATGTGCAATATGAATTAAATCTCTTGAATGATTGTTTTGAGTGTTCACTTTCTGCGTGTCTCAAATAAACTATACATACAGATTCAAGTGTCCCATCACACAGTGAAATTGTTTTAAGTTTCTGATGTTTGTCTTGTCTGTCAGATCTGACAGAGTGGCATGTGAAGAGCTCAGCTCTGGCTCTGGTGGACGGACAGCCGTGGCACATGCACCGACCTTTGACCCACTCCTGTGACCTCACCCTTCTCACCTTCAAAGATCATGACCCTCAGATAGCCAACCAGGTCAGTGTGTGTTTGCGCTGCTTAATATAAAACATTTCTGATGCTGTGTGTTATCATTGAGACAATGAATTTATGTGTGCTTCAGGCTTACTGGCGCTCCTGTGCGGCTCTTCTGGGTCATGTGCTCGACGGAGCGTTTAAGGACGAGTTCAGCGTCGAGCTGCTGAAGCTTCCTGAAGTGCCAGGTACAATTGAACCTGATTTACTCAGAGCTGTGTGTGTTGTTAGTTATATTCAGATGATGTTAACTCTTCATCTGTTGTGTTTGCAGTGACCGCTGGCGCGTTCTGTTGTGATCTGGTTCTGGACTCTCGTTTAGACTCCTGGACACCTACAGAGGTCAGAACTGCTTCTTCATCTCAGACGCTGTTAACATGCATCTGAAATGTGTCCTCCTGCATATTACATTTTGATGAATTATGTTAATGTGTGCACATCTGTGGCATACCTGCATTCAGATCAGTTCTTCACATGTCAGCCATACTGAAGATGTTCAGTGCACTTTTCTGCATGCATGTGTATAAATACACTTTTCTGAAAGCTTAAATCAGATGTTTATTTTTTTATAAATCCAAACTTTACAAGTGGTTGATTGACAGGAGAGTGAGCGGTTCTTTGCATGTGATCTCATGCGTGTTTGACTGCTTGAAATATGGTTTAAGTGTTTAGATCATGAAATGTTTCAAACCCAGTATCGGTAATGTAACCAGTAATGTGCTTTTTCATTAAGATGCAATACGTGTTCCCTGAAATTGATTTCCAGGGGCATTTTTACCTTTATAAGGGCAGCTTTCTAACTTCATTTGTCATGTTTTATGCCACATTATTAAATTTTATCAGTAAAATCAAGAGATGCTCAAACTGTGGCCTGCCATGCCATATCACAAGTGGAGGGAAAAGATAGGAAAAACATGCAATTTAGGAATATGTTCATTTCTAATTTATATTTTTTTTAAATGTTTTTTTTAAATGTAAATTTCAATGTAAATATGAATTTGATTAAAAAAATTATGTAAAAATGTACATTTTGTTAATGATTTAAAAAATAAAACCATATTAATTTTAATATAATATAGTTGGATATAGTGCAAAATATATATATGGCCCTCAGTCAAGTTTGATTTTTGTCTTTTTTTAAATTTTTTTTTAAAGTTTGGGCACCTCTGAACTAGAACAAGAAGACTATGGATGCTAGTGATCAAATCAGTATCAGTAACGAAACTCCAATATTTGTTGCTTGACATGAAATGGTCAATATCGACAATATTGTATCTAAAATTTAACACTCAGTATTATTTTCTTATTGATTTTATACACTAGTTCAATAAGCATCACATTCACAATCATATTGATATTCAGGTAAAACACCATTCTTGTTCATTTCTACATTCTGAATATACAAAACAAGAAATTATTGAGAGGCATTTTTGGTCCAAACCCCTGTTAATTTTCAACCTCACTCAGTTTACACTTGTCTTTAGTGCTGAACGCTGAGATGGATGTGAATTGGAGCTCCTGGCTGTGTCAGTATGACAGTATCTTTGGTGATGATCCTGATCTTCTCTGAAGCGTGTGCAGTGTTCAGTTCGATTGGTTCTTTTGTTGCAGGAAAATGTGCGCAGTTTAACGCGTGACGCACTGCAGCTCATTCATAAGGATCTGCCGTGGGAACCGCTGGAGGTTTCAGCGACTGTGGCGCTTGAGATCTTCTCTCACAGCCGGTACAAGAAACACACACTACACAATTCAAATGCTTTTAACATGTATTGTGTACATTATAAAATTAAAATAATTTAGTATAATATCAGATATGAATCTGTTCAGACAGTGTAGAGACAATATTAAGTAAATCTACATCCAGTATTTGGTTATTATTTATTGTTAACTAAAACTCATTACTTGAAATCAAACAAACATTAACTGAAATAAAATATTAAAAAAACTAATTTCTCAACATCTCATTTTTGCTTAGTTTGTTGAATACTAAAATAAATAAAAATAAATAAACTAAAAACCAAAGCGTAATACAAACTATATAGATATATATTATGTATATTTTAAAAACGAATAAAAATGACAGAAATGTTCAACAAAATTACTCGAACGTTCAAACTAAAATGAAAATAGGAAATATAAAAAATAAAATCTATTTCAAAATCTAAATAAAAACTATAATAGTATATCTATGAAATTAAACAGTATAGAAAGAGAGTTCCTTCCAGGGTTGTTATGGTAAACAATTAAAAAATTTTTTTAACTTGAAATAAAATAAATGTTCACTGAAATAATTATTTTAAATTAATTTCAGCTAGTTTCCGAAGCAACATTTCTCATTTTCAATGAGTTTAACTTGATGTACTAAAATTACAACTGAAATAAAAATGAATAAAAAAAAAAAAACTATAGACTATTAAATAGAGGTTTAAGAAAAATGACAAACACAAAGCATAATTACTCAATTTTAACTAAAATTAACATGAAAGCAGAAAATATAAAAATAAAATCTATAATCTATAATATTATAAAATCTATAATATTATATCAATATTAAAATGACACTGCTTCCTTCTACAACAAATTCACACATGTGCTAGTCCTCTTGTTCACTACATAGTGAATGTTGCATAGCTCTCTATTTAGGGGACAAGTATAAATGAGTTCATTCCAGTAGCGAACCGTGACTCTTGAACCTAGGCCTCTAGGTTCAGGTTTTTTGTTTTTTGTTTTTTGTCTACCCTCGTCGGGGGAAAAAACAAACTACCAGTCTAGCTTACGGTGTCTTCTTCCACCTTTGAAACAAGAGGCTAATCCAGCTTTAATCCAGTCACACACCAAAGTGCAGCGCTGCCCCGCACCACGTCTTTAAAATTTGAACACATTGTTTTCAATGAGTGTACGCACACCGGAGGCACCACCGGCGACTGTCCATGGATCCCAGCTACGACTCTGGGCGCTGTTCAAAATCCTGCCGCGCCACTCACATAATTTCCATTAAATTGCATTATATTTGTCCCAAATTATTGTTAATGTACATAATGACTTCCTCCTAGGCTGGAAGATTATGTATTGTGCCCTTTTCAACGAAACGTTTTTCTGTGGCTCTAATAAAGCTCGTGCTTCAAGACTGCAATAGATCGCACGTTCTCATTCCGTTTGCTCTGTTTTTTCAATCACCAAACTTTAAACTGTTTTTCTGTGGCTCTAATAAAGCTCGTGCTTCAAATAGACTGCAATAGATCGCACGTTCTCATTCCGTTTGCTCTGTTTTTTCAATCACCAAACTTTAAACTCATTGACAGCACTTGATCATTCTTGAAGTTAACTTTTGACTGTTTGGAGAGTAGATTAAAGGTTTTGGACCGTCATCTTGAACTGAACGGGACGCGTCCGGTGTTCGATACTTGAGTTGCCCTAGACGCGGCACGGCGGCGGCGCTTCTCGTCCGGTGTGCGACCGCCTTTCGGAAATGCAACAAGAAAACAGCACAGCGAGAGTGACTGATATCACCAAAATAATACAGAGCTAAATTTAAGTCAAATGAAAATTACAAATGCATCGGTCTGAGCACAAAACCAACAAATGTAAAGTGTGTTTAATGTAAGCCAACACATCATGACAGTGCTCACAGCAAAACAAATTATGACAAACAAACAGTGTTTATAATTATATTATTATTGGCACAGCAGCCTGATAAATGTCCTCACTTACGTTACTTGCAGCTTCCATCGTGACGTGAATAATAGTTAGTTTATCAGCATTTTGTTTTTTTTCTCGATAGAGGTCCCACAGCGGGCAGAACTTAAAGTTAGTCATAAAGTTAGTGATAACAAGGCCCGCCCATTTAGAGGAAAGATATGATTGGTCAATTTTTCTGTCAGTCGAAATTACTCTCCCATTGATTTACTATTGCTCTGTAATTTCACAGCTGGACCGCCAATCACAGAGCCGCAAACGCTCGGCGGAAACATTCTAATAGGGAGAAAATAAGCGTCGTTCATGTAACACATTCACTGAATAGGCAGATTTGAAGAGTTTATTTCCACAGAAATTGTATTTATTTTATTTAGATGGTGATTGTCAAATTATGAATTGCTTAAAAATAGAAATGATGACTTTTTATTAAAAATAATATTTAAAATTTGTCATTTAAAAAAATATTTAAAAATTGTAAATATTGACGGTTCCCCTCTGCTTAATTCAGACACGGCTATGGGCTTTGTGCATGCTGTTATGTATGTGTTGTGTCTTGGAAAATGAAAATATCAGTCCATCTGTCCACTCATACTGAAAATCTTTTCCAGAAATTTGAATTCATGTATGAAAGTGATTTGGAATAGATTTGTCTTGCTTATTTTAGTCCAACAGGCCAAATAATAATAATAATAATAAAACGGCCTGTTTCTGTCTATTTGGACAAACTCTTGTTTCTGGTAAGAGTTCATCTAGTTTGAAGTTGAGATGAATGTAATAAACCAGCGTTCACTTCATTTTACTTCTCTAATGTGACACATTGTTGAATCAAGATATTCAACAATAGCATGATTTGATTTTGTTGATTTGATTGGCTACTTAAAAAGTGTCTCTAATTGATCAGAGGGACTGAAAAGTGAATGAAATATTGAGGGGGAAAAAAAACAAGGTTATTTTAATGAAAGCTTTTGAAAGCATTTTTTCTCTAGAATAATCACTGATGAATCGTGTGTGTAATTGTGTTTGCGCAGGTGTAAACAGGAGGAAGTTGAAGAAAGAGCAGCTCAAAGCCAGAATGGGACAGTGTCATTATACAGGTGAACACACACACACACCCTCTCACTCACACTCCTATTATTAAGAGGACTTTTCATAGGCGTAATGGTTTTTATACTAAGCTCATGATACTTTGATAACACGCACAGAAAATGTTCTGCATTTTTAAATAAAAATAGTTGAGCATGTTTATAATGTCCGCATAATGAGGACATTTAATAGGTCAAACCAGCACACACACACACACACACACTATCAGATCAGCTGTAATGGTTCCTCTGTGTGTTGCTCAGGTGTGGTGATCATGTGACAGTGAGCGGAGGCCCTCTGGTGGCTCGTACGGGTCTCTGCTCTCAGTATGAGGTCACATCTGTCCATACCTTGGTGGGAGAGTGCGAGTGGGGCGTCCTGCGCCGGGCTCAGGGGCTCTCGCTGCCCCTCAACCTCACTGTACGTACATCTGACATCTGTACTGAATGTGTGAGAAAATTAATCTTTACAATGGGTTATTCTGCCATATAATTCATGTAAATGTTGCACTGTGGACAATTACAAGAGCAGTTCAGTCTGTCATTTTTATGTTTCTAAGATTAAGTCTAGTACATTGTGCTTTAGTATGTATATTCTTGATTCTGAGTTGTGCACATGTCTTTTTTTATTTGTGTTTTTAGGCTCATCATAATGTGTGGAAGATGCTGCGGAAAAGAGCAGAAAGACTAGTAAGAAATGTGTTTGTGTGTGATAATTCGGTTAAACAAGTGAAGGCAAGACACTGCAGGCAAAAACACTGTTTTCATGCACTGGTCAGTTTTGAGATTTTGGGCTATTTAGCTTCTTTTTATTGCAAAATACACATTTAAATGTTTATTTTATTGCACTGTTTGCATCTGTACATTTTAAATTCCAGTCAAAGGCGATATTTTTTTATATTTTTCTCACCAGAGCTTACACCAGACATTTCAGTTTTATTCCTCTCTATATTCTGAAGGCTTTTACTGAGGGGTTTGTTCATATATCATTCACACTGATTTGTACAACATTTTAATCCTAAAAACATGGTGAGAGTGTATTTGTTTTCTGTCTGTTTCTGCCAACAAAATCAAACAAGAATTATGAACTTGGCTTTATCCAATGTTCAGATTTATGTGCTGGAATTGTATGCAAATTAGTGCATATTTAATTAGATAATGCCTCATTGGCATTTTTTAAAATAGAAAAACAGACAAACAAACAAAGTTTCCGCTCATCCCTAAGTTTGTTCAAACAAACGAAAAATAAAAACACACATACTTAAAATGTTTTAGAAGGAGCTGCAGAAATGTGAAGCTCAATTTATTGCTGTACTTGAATTCAATTAATTTTGTTTTTCTTTTAGCTGTAAAGTGTCTAAATCGTCATTTTGAGTTCATTAGTGTAAAAGTGCATTACAGTCAACACATTTTATACTTTTTACAAACTCAGAAACTGTTCCAGTTGTATGCATGTACAAATAGATGAACTTATAGTAAACCATTTTCATTAATATTTTTTGAAGGTTCTATCAATGAATCTTTATATACAACAGCACAGTTAATATTCCAACACATTATTAATATTTGATTGTTTTCTCTTTTGCAGGTGGAGATTCCCTCATCCCCAACAGTGACTCCTCCTCTCATAACAGAAGCCACGCCCACTGCCACACCCCCTCAGCAGTAATCAACACCTCCCCACCCAGCATTGAGTGTGTTATATTGTTGAATAAAAATGTTTGTAACATGTAGAAAGTCTACTTTTGTTTTATTGTGTTTGAATGAGCGACTCACATTACTGACAAAAACATCATTAATAATTTCAGTGATTGAAGTGATGACTGCAAATTAATGACTGGAAATCACAAAGTTGGTTGCTAGTAGATCATGTGAGTCTGTGTTACTGACTATCAGGGGCGTTGCACAAGATCCCGGGCCCTATGCATAGGCAGTCCTGATGGGCCCCCATGCCCCCCCCATACTATTTTAGTTGACTATCATAATGAATTCAAAATATGTATACTCTTTTTACAAGATTCATTTTATAAAACAGTCATAACAAATCTTCTTCAACCAAAACCAAATTGTATCTGTTCAGCAACTTTTCTTAAATGAGTGAATATCATTTTTTTTTCAATTTATTTTAATGTTACCATGTTATTACTGCATTTACCCCTTTTTGATTAATTAATTCTTTGAATTACCAGTATTAACCCAATTTGAATAAATTAAAATTAAATGTTGAATTCAAAAACTATATTTATGAAGCATACATGTTTATTTATAATAAAACAACTTAAATATTACTCTGAAAGGTTTTCAAACGAAATAAATTCATTTTACTTGCATAAACGTTCACTGTCAGATGAAAAAAGTGATCCGTTTTTCATGCTGCAGTGGTTTGTCAATTGGCATACATATTCGTGTTTATCAACAAAATTGTGTGAAATTTTAAGAAAAGGCTAAATGTTTTTTTGACACTAATATAACTTATGAACACCTAAACACAAAATTAAGATTTTTTTTAAAGTTATATCTCTTAAAAAATAATGTAAATAAAAAAAAATCTAAAATAATAAAAATAATATTTTATGTGTATTTTGAGGGTCTTAAAGCATTTCCAAAGTTTCGATCCGTTACTAAAAACTATGCATTGTTTAGATATTTTTATGTTTCTCTTCCAGGTCAAAATGGACCCAAATATGTTATGAGGGCTAAACTTGTGCATATCAAAATTGATTAACTAACAAGATTGTCTGCAAACTGTTTCACCACCTTGGCAGACTGTAAATGTGATTGCAGTGAAGTCTGCTGTACTTGTGTTGCATTCTTCGTTCTGACATGCTGGAGCATGAGAAGTTGTATTTGCATAGCTAGAAGTGTTTGCATTCATGAAGTGGGTTTTTTTTTTTTTTCAGAGAGTTTAATCCCATTTGCTCAACAGCTAGAGCATGTTGATCCATCTCTGCATCTGCTGGGTTTAAACCCTCAGAGGAGTCGTGCTGCAGCCTGCGTGCGTGTGTGTGTGTATGTCAAGAGCTAATGTGTGTGTGGGAAAGTTTGGTGTGTGTGTGTGT